GTGAGCTAATCGGGGGAATGATGCATACCATCACCGCCACCCGGCGGTGACGGGTAACCCACAGATCCCTGTACATAACAAAAAAACCTAAGGCTAATAGTTCCTGAAAATACCTCACTTCATTTAAACCGAAAAACATGAACTGAAGTGGAAGAATCTGGGGCTGTAACCCTCCCACCACCCAGCACCCAGATCTTCATTACATGAAAATTCAAAATTATAACAAGCTGCAGCAAGCAAACAAGCTGCAACAGCCAATATCCCACCACCCAAAAATCCATGTCATCTCATGTATTCATGTTCTAAATCATCCAACAATAAAACATAGGCAATCAGCCTCAAAATACCATCTTTCTAAATCAAACTAAAAAAAAACATAGGCAATCAGCCTCCATAAGCAAACAAACTTTCAACAACCGTACCAACCACAAGGTGCCATAGGGTTTCAACAACAACATCAACCCGACAAGTTATCCAAGCTTGAGGACCTAGTGAACAGCTTTGTGAGTACGAGTAGCCAAAATTTTGAGAAGATTGAGCAATTTATGGATGTGGCGACTACAAAGTTTACCTCGGTTGAGGCGGGTCTCCGAAGCCATCAAGCGAGCCTTCAAAGTTTGGAGGTGCAAATCGGCAACCTTGCAGGTATCCTCACCGAGAGACCAAAAGGGGCCCTACCTTCCCAAACCGTGGTGAACCACAAGGATCAAGCCGGGGTGAATGCACTTCAAGTGAGGAGTGTGAAGGTGGTCCTGGGGGTCGCCACAGGAGAAGAAATAGAGAAGGAAGAGTCCGACAAGGAAGAGACCACCCCGAAAAGAACAGAGAAGAAGCCCTCGAGGAATGAGAGGAAGGTGACAAGCAAGGCATTGCCGGAGGATGGATATATGCCACCTCTTCCTTATCCCACAAAGATATACAAGGAGAGGTTGGACAACAAATGTGGAGGGTTCATGCAAATGCTACGGAACCTCCACCTCAACGTCCCATTCCTCGAAGCCATGGCGCAAATGCCAAGATATGTCAAGTACCTCAAAGGATTCCTAATCTGGAAACCAAGTGGATGTACAGATGTTGTTAAAACCAAACCAGAGTATGAACTGATAGAATGAGTGGTTCACACTTTACTGTTTTAACCGGTATTAGACTGTTAAAAATCATTAATAAATCGACATCTTATAAAGAAAATAAACCGACATCTTAGGGGTCGTTTGCTTGATGGATTTGGGACTCAAATCCCAAGCAATGATGGATTTTAGCCAAGTCCATTGTTTGTTGTCAGGTGTTAAATCAGTGGGGTCCACGGATTTGTTTCCTTTTTTTATCCAAATCCGTGGATCCCACAGACTTGTAAATCCCACATATTGGGGTGAGATTTGTAAATCCTTGATGGCTAGTTATATTAGCAAATCCATCATAATTATATCATCAAATCTATCATGCAAACAATAGACTCTTCAAATCCATGATGGTACAAATCCCTCATAAATCAAAAGGTTTTTTTTAGCCAAAACCCTCATTTTTCAAATCCAACAAGCAAATAAAAAATCCAAAATAGAGTTTATTACTATGGAACACCTAAGACTCAAAAATTTAAACATAACCCATCAACCTTATGCAAATGTTTAAAAAACATAAAAAAAACACTGGCAATTTAATTAACAAAATAAACTAAAAAAACTTTTAAAAATATTCTAATTCCTATTTCTTAAGCCAAGTGGCACCGGAACCATGGTTGAGATCAATGCAGTCAAAAGTGCGATTTTACCTTGAAGTGGAAAAATGGTAAAGTTGTAAAGCGTAGAATCAAAGCGTAAAAGCGTAAGTTTTTTACGCACGCTCTAAAATATCTAAAAATATGTTAAGTATGACATATACTATGTAAAATATGAGTGCACAAAATTTAGATAAATTAATAAATACTTGAAATTCATGTCTAAAGTTGTGAAACTCATAGCATCTTAACAATAAGTTCATGAACATAGATCTTAACAATAAGCCACTTTTCCCTCTATGCTAATGAATTTTAAAAGGGCTTAGCTGGTGAATTAGATTACTCTATTGAAACTGAAAATGCATCCAAGTATCTGGTATGTATCTTTTAATCTCAAATGTACCATATCGTTGGTGATTTACCTTTAAAATATACTTCTTATAATTAATTTCATTTGAACAAGACACCCATTTAGTGAACTATAAGCGTAAAAGCGTAATCTTTTAAGCACAATTTAGCCCGATTTTTTATACACTAAATATTTATATGGAATTCTACAACAAAATAAAAATTTTATATGAAAACGAAAGCGTTTTGGTGATCTAAAAGCGTAAAATTGCAAGATTTTAATTTTTAAAATGATGTTTTGATTGCATTGGTTGAGATCAATTCATTTTGATTGAATTAAATAAATTGTATTCAAATAAATTAAACTATTTAAATATTTTAGTGGATGAAATGAATTAAATTAGGTTGACGCATCTCATTCACATTGTCATCTCTAATTTCTTTATTATAATTTTTGTGGTCAGAAATTCTTCCGCCACGCATTTCCCCCATTTTGTCACGAGTTATTCCATGACTCAACGAGTCACGAGTGATGAAGTGAGAAGAAGTTCCGGTAGACTTGTTCTGGATCATGTAATTAAGGACGAGATGAACTTAGCACGTAGCTAGCTAACTGCCAATCTGCATGGAGAATTTTTCAAGTACGGTTACTGTCAAAGGTTACGTCTTTGGGTCGTAGCTGGGGGATTCCATAAATTCATATTAATAACGGTAAGTAAGCAGGATCTATTATGATGTAAACCCTAATAACTTGTTTGTTTCCACCTATCTATATATGTTACATCGATCTTGAGACAATAAAAGTACTCTCTGGTTCCCACCTAAAAATAAAGGCAAGTTTTTACTTGCATAGTCAAAACTATCGATTTTGCGACAATAATAGACATTTTTTACAAAACATAAAAAAAAAACAATCAGATTTTGAATGCAAGTTTGTCAAATCTAGCTATTTTCGTTTAATATAAAATGATATTAAAATCGATACGTACACGTCAGTGACAACTCAACATATGTTTAGTAAATACTAAATACCACGTCATATTTTACCAACTCAACATTCGTATAGCCAAAACTTTGATACTATAGTTATTTATTCAAAATTAAAAATCTCACCTCTCCAAATCCTTCCTTCCCTCCCCAACGTAGCTATTATTGTCACAAATTCTTGCGCATCCAGCTAGTGAGTTTTATGAGAATTAACAAGACAACAACCATGCGAGTATGAGTCTCTCCCCTTCTCTTAATATAATCCCGCCGCAGCAAAGGCGCAAAGCATAATACGAAGCTAACTAGCTAAGTAAGCAGTCATGAACATGGCCTCACTTCTTCTTCTGCTTCTCGTCTCCTTTCTTTTTCTCCAATTCGCCACCTTTTCTTCTTCTTCTTCGTCGTCTTCTACCGAGATTGTCCCTCCCATAGTTGGAGAAGGCTACCGTCTGTTTACCACTAAAAAATCACTCAATACCACATTGATTATTTTCAAGGAGTGGTAGTGATTTATAAGGCCAACTTAACCATATTAATTAAATTGGTTTAAGCTGGGCCTAAATGATGGTATTTTGGGCTTCATACCAGGTACCTCAACACACACTACTTGACCCACCAAACACCCATCCGTCACGCAAGAGGGGTCAAGTGTTGCGTGTTGACACCCTTCAACATCAACCACCCAAGTGGGCACCCCATCATACTTGGCCAAAATTTCGCTCCACCATTCGCCTACCTACCTCACGGGTAATTACCCCTAGACAGGATGGGGCGAAGAAAGCCAAAATTTGGCTAAGTGTTGAGACCCTCAGCACAAGGGGGGGTCATGCATGACACCATCCAAGGGGGTCAAGCACAAGGGGGGTCATGCATGACATCGTCCAAGGGGGGTCTCGTACAAGGGGGGTCAAGCATGACATCATCCAAGGGGGTCAAACATTATGTGTGTTGAGACCCGTAGCACAAGGGGGGGTCATGCATGACACCGTCCAAGGGGGTCAAGCACAAGGGGGTCATGCATGACATCATCCCGGGGGTCAAGCATGATACCATCCAATGTGAGTTGAGTATGACGAGACGCGAGCTAACTGTGGTGGCAAAGAGAGCCAAACTTTGGCTAAGTGGTGTTGAGACCCATAGCACACGGGTGGTCAAGCACTATGCCATCTACCTACCTTGCACCAGGGGGGTCATGCATGACACTGTCCAAGGGGGTCAAGCACTAGGGTGTCAAGCATGATGCCGAGGTGAAAATTGGCTAAGTATGGAGATCCAACCGTCCAAAGGATTCAAGCATGACACCGTCCAAGGGGGTCAAGCACCAGATACCAAAGTGGCAAGCACGCAAGACAGTCAATGCATCAAGCAAGCTACATCAAACACCAAGCAGTGGAGCAGCGGTTACCAAGAGGCGGTTGCATGACGGTTACAAGGGATGACTATAAATAGGAGAAACGAAGACGAAGCAAGGGTTCCACAACCAACCATTTGACACACTATGTCAAATTTTATCTTTTTCTCTGCAAATTAGCCATAGCCTTAGTTTTCGGAGCTCTCACTGAACCTCCATAGGAGTAGAGTAACGTAGCTTGTTCCCCAAAAAACCATCAAAACATCAAACACCCTCGTTCGAACATTGTTCGGAGAGGAGTGAACCGTGTTATTAATCGTTGTTCAAGAAGTCGAAGGTGCATTCATTGTGTTCAAACACCAGATTTTCCTCGCCGGAAAACACCGTCTAATCAGCATTCAAGAAACCCCCGACGAAGGTTTAATTGGCCAACTTCAAGTCAAGCAGGCAAACAATTTCTACGGCCCCGACATTCCTCTCCTCCAGCTCTTCATCAAGTACTATTAATTAAATTACCCTAATTTCTCGTGTTTATTTTAATTTTACACTACATGCTACACCATAAATGGAATTAATTAATTTGTGTACCAAAAATACAGGCCCGAAACAGAGAATCGGTTGCGGGTTCACATTACAGACGCGAAAAATCCGCGGTGGGAGGTTCCGTACGACCTCCTCCCAAGGGAGCAAGCACCGCCGCCGTCGTCGGCAAACAACGTGGAGCAATACGGCGTCGTAGTAGACGACGACTACATGACAACCCACGGGGAGCTCGTCTTCAGCTACATCCCCGACCCGTTCGGCTTTCTCGTGACTCGGAAATCCAACGGGGACACGCTCTTCGACACCCGACACGATCGCGAACCCGACCGGCCCGATGGTGTTCAAGGACCAGTACCTCGAGATCTCCACCAAGCTGCCGGCGGAGGCGTCGCTGTACGGCCTCGGCGATCACGTCCAGCCCGGCGGCGGGTTCAGGCTGACGCCGAGCCGGGATCGGCCGTACACGCAGTACACGTCGGACTTGCCCGCCGACACTCTGAACACGGCGCTGTACGGGTCGCACCCGGTTTACATGGACCTCCGAAATTCGAACGGGTCGGAGCCCCGTGCCCATGGGGTTCTGCTGTTGAACAGTAATGGGATGGATGTTTTCTACGAGGGGGATTCGCTGACGTATAAGGTCATTGGGGGTGTTTTCGACTTTTACTTCTTCGCTGGCCCGACTCCTCTGGATGTCGTTGAGCAGTACACTTTGCTGGTTGGCAGGCCTGCTCCCATGCCTTATTGGGCTTTTGGTATTGAATTCTTTGCACTTTACACTGATCAGGGCTGGGAAATTGGCTTCGGTTTTTTGGTTTAATTGAATCTGAATCGATACGGTTCTTATTGGTTTCGAGTTTTTTTTATCCCGAGCCGATTTGTTATTCAATGATTTTGGTTTAAACCAGAAAACTAATAAAAGAATCGAAACCGAAATTCACCTTTGAACTTCGTTCCATGGAGCCAATACATCCAAGTAGAATTCATCAAACCACTTTAAAAGGGTGGAGGAGTTGCGGTTTTCGATTTTACTAACCGAAACGAACATATTAAGAGGCAAAGTGAAAATCGAAAAGCCCACCATTAATGGGTTCGATTTTGGTTTTGGGAAAACAAGCTAGATCGGATTTTTGGTTTTTTAATGGACCGATAACCGATCAATTCCTTAAAGAATCCAGTTCCAATTTCAAAGAAAAATTATGGCTGAATTTTTAGTTTTTAATGGTTTCAATTCGGTTAACTAAACCAAACCGAACAAACACCCTAGTTAGTATTTACTTATTTTTATTATTGGATTGCAGGATTCCACCAGTCTAAATGGGGATACGAAAACATTTCAGTGGTCGAACAAGTGATTGAGAATTATATGAAGACTGACATTCCTCTAGACGTGATATGGAACGATGACGATCACATGGACTACCATAAGGACTTCACGATAAGCCCCGAGAATTATCCTCTCGAGAAGCTCGAGTCCTTCCTGGAAAAGATCCACAGTTTGGGAATGAAGTACGTCGTGCTCACTAATCCAGGAATCAACGTCAACTCCACTTACGAGGTCTACCAGAGAGGCATGACAGACGACGTGTTCATCAAGTACGACGAACAACCATACTTGGGCAAGTTATGGGTCGGACCGGTCCATTACCCGGACTTCCTCAACCCAAAGACCGTCTCGTGGTGGGAGGACGAAATTCGTCGCTTCCACGACATGGTCCCCATAGACGGGTTGTGGCTCGACATGAACGAACCTTCCAACTTCTGCCCTGGACTCTGCAATTTCCCACTTGGCGACTGCCATTCTTGGGAGTGTTGCCTCGTTTGTCGGAAGATCAACGAGACGAAGAAGTGGGAGGATCCTCCTTACAAGATCAACGTGATGGGATCGAAAGAGTACATCGGCTTACACACCATTGCACCTAGCGCGGTTCACTACAACGGCGTGTTGGAGTACGATGCACACAGCCTTTATGCACTTTCACAAGCCATTGCTACTCACAAGGCTCTTTCAAGCATCAAAGGGAAACGACCGTTCATCTTGTCGAGATCGACCTACGTTGGAATCGGGCATTACGCGGCTCACTGGACGGGTGACAACACAGGGGATTGGGACAATCTCAAGTACTCCATACCTGCGATGCTCAATTTCGGCATCTTCGGAGTGCAGATGGTTGGGTCGGACATATGTGGGCACTATCCTGCTTGGTCGTCGTCTATGGAGGAGCTGTGCAATCGCTGGATCGAGGTGGGCGCTTTCTACCCTTTCTCGAGGAATCACGCAAACCTCTGGTCGCCGAGGCAGGAGCTTTACCTCTGGGAATCGGTGGCTGAATCCGCAAGGAATGCTCTGTCGATGAGGTACAAGCTTCTCCCGTTTCTCTACACGTTGAACTACGAGGCGCATACTACAGGCGCCCCGATTGCTAGGCCGCTCTTCTTCTCGTTCCCTGGATATGCAGAAAGTTACGGGATCAGCACCCAGTTCTTGCTAGGCAGCAGCCTCATGATTTCGCCAGTGCTCGAGCAGGGGGATACGCAAGTGAAGGCTCTGTTCCCTCCCGGTTCGTGGTACAACGTGTTCGACATGTCAGAGAGTGTGGAATCGAAGGGAGAGTATTACACATTGGACGCACCGTTGAATGTGATCAATGTGCATCTCTATCAGAATGCCATTTTGCCGATGCAACAGGGTGGGATGATCACCAAGGATGTGAGGATGACGCCGTTTAGCATTGTGGTCTCATTTCCTTTTGGATCGTTTGTTGACGGAGGAGAAGCTAGGGGGAGGATCTTCATCGACAATGATGAGCTCATCGAGATGAGATTGGGGAATGGGGAGTCGACGGTTGTCGAGTTACGTGCCACGGTGATCCATGGGAATGTGACGTTGTGGTCGGAAGTTGAGGACGGGGAGTTTGTGTTGAGTAAAGGTTTGATCGTTGAGAAGGTGAGCGTGTTAGGATTGGGTGGGAGTGGGGCGCCTCGCGATGTTCGAGTTAACTGGAACCCGATCTCTGCTGATTCGAAGATACAGGTGAGATCATCGGAACAGAGGCGCATTGGGAGAGATGACAGGGGAAGTATGAGTATGATGGTAGAGATCAGCGGGTTGGAAATTCCATTGGGAAACAACTTCACTATCACATTGAACATGCTTGAATCCTAAGTAATTAAGATTTGAGTAAATCTATATATACACCTGTGTGTACTACTGATTTGCCTACTCCATGGCTCTGCTGCTAGGAGAGGCGAACTTATCATTTCGATGAAGATAAGTGGTTGTTTCATGAAATAATCCTAATCACTCTCATCTTTCAACCAAGAGAAATAAAAGAATTGAGCTGTCATCAGTCAGCTGTGCTTTAAAGGGAGATCAAAACCATTGGGCAAGATACATACATACAGGAGAAAGAAAGAAAAAAGGACATCACAATGCACAACCCAAACTAAAAGGTTTCAATAAATAGAATACTTTCAAGCAAGGTAGAGTAGTTAGTGAATGTGTACTTTGAAGTCCAGAATAGTGTGTTTCAGCTAAACACCATTCTGTTTAACTGACGGCGGCCACGAGAGTCTCCTATGGTTCAAGGAATCAGCTTGGTCTGCTTCGATCTGTTCATCGACTTGCCCGTGAAGCTCTTGTTGTTTTCCTAGGCTTTTGATTGCCAAGTCATCCAGACTCGATTCGGTTTTCCAAACTGGAGGGGTAACAAGCTCTGAATCTCGAGGGGTCATTTGGGAAGAAGAAGAATGATTTGCTGGTGTTGAAGGCGGAGATGCAGTCAAGTGGCCTACTCTGAGATCCTGGAGCGTGGCAAATGATTCTCTCATTGCTGACATGGCTTCAAAGAACCGGGTGCATGATGCTAATGCAACAGGAATTGGCCTCAACATTTCCTAGGAACATAGTAAAAGTGGCATTGTGAACAAGGAAAGCTTCCCAGCTATTGATGATCAGAGCAAGATGTAAGAATGTATAATGAACATACCCCCCAAACAGAAGGAGACTCCCTGAAGTTTTGAGTCCATTGGAAATCGGAGACAGATGCAGTCAAGGGGCCATAGTCACTTGCAGCTTTCATAAGCAATTCTGAAAATTGTTTCTGCAGAAGTCAATGGTGGATGGAGTTTGCAAACTATTAGAGCTACTGTTTTTGTCAGATTAATGGACAACTTCCGTACTTAGTCTATTGACCAACTTATTGACAGTGCATATCATGTTGAACAAATGAAACGAAATCAACGCAAAATTGTTAATGGCATCCTTATCCCACATACTGAAAAGAGTGCGACTGTGCACAGCTCCATGATGAAGTCAAAGAACAAATCCAATAAGGATTATAACCTGCTCAGCTAAACATAAAAGATAAGAAGAAACAACCAACCTGATACTCTGCCTCTACAGGAATGCAATCAAGTGAGTACGGTTGTTGAAGACGAGCTATAATACGATCCTGCCAACATTTCCAAACATAAGTTTCTAGATAAAATAAACACTTAAAACACCACTTATACAAAACGATAGATTCACATGATAGATGGAGTTAAGATCATTTGGAGGGAATTAGATAAATCCATGTTTTGCATCCTCTCAAGTCTTAACAGCTTACAGGGAAAATATCAGTAGAAAAGCTTAGAGTCAGCAGCCTCATTATAAATGGGAGGTAGATGCCATGTAATAAACCATCCCACTGTAAGGAAAGGTGTCTAACTAGGAAGTGGAAATGAGCAATTAATGTTTATGAGTGTTGCAGTTTTGTAATTTTTTCCAGCAAAGATTTCCAGTATATGGGTAGTCAAGCATTCAGGTGGACAACTGCATCAGTGTGGACTGCGTTAACCGTAAAATCATCACATGAAATTTTACCTTATTCTGAATGACATCTTTTAATATGGTAGTAATCCTCGACAATGTCTCTATCTTCTTCTCCATTTCACTCACGTGTGTCAAATGAGCCACATTCTTGTCATCCTGAATAGCATTTTCACATCAGACAAAGCCACATTCTTGTGAACCCTAACAACGGAAATGGTTGCAAGTACAAATTACCTTTCGTCCTTGAAGTTCGACCTGAAGATCCGCAATTTTTCTTTGAACTGTTGTCAACTCTCTCAGTACCTTGATCAGGTCATCACCCTTTTCACCACTAGATGCTGACAAGCTCTGCACTTCCTCCTATGGTCAGAGAACAGAAAAAATGAGCTCAAGGCACTCTCATCAAACCCACGCATAATATAACCACTGTCATCTCTCCACACAGCTTGTATATGAAACCAATCTCAACACGCTCAAGCAGATGAGTAGACCCTCTGAAATATGAGCTGGGAAATGAAATTTTCGGCTAGGGTTCAGTAGCTCTATATACTAATTCGTGTTCCAACAGGATTATCCTTTATCTACTACATCAACAGTTACATAATTGGAGTTGATGTTCACTCTTCAGCTGCAATTATAAAGCAGTCCCGAGGAAGAAAAGAAAATTTGTCATTTTTTCCCCACCAATTGAAAAGAGTAGCATCACAATCAGAACCTCAAGATGAACCAACCAAACCCACCATGCGTGGAAGAAAAAAAAAACCCCTTCAGCAGCAATTGACAGGAAACAATACATCGGAAACCATAAGGAGTTGGAGATTAACACCTGCGAAGGCGGTGGCGCAACCGAGTAGCCTAGATCGGCGGCGATGGAGAGCGCGTCCGACATCCCTCCGATCCGCCGCAGCGGCTTCTTACTGACCCAGGTGGCGTCGCCGCCCATCGCCATCTGCTATACGGTTTTATCTCTCGAAATTGACTGCAAAGGTCCTAGAGAAGTCTGATTGTCGTGGATCCTTTCGTCGGCGAAGTAAGGTAGCCGTCGGCCGGCCGTTGGAGAATTTTTTCAAATCCACAGCAGACGGGGCCAGCGAGCGCAGCAGTAGTAATCCACAGCGAAATGCCACCAGATCTTTGCCGTTTTGCTTTTTCACTATCGTGGGCCGCGACCGACATTTTGGATCGCATTGCTGATTGGGCTAAGGCCCAGACTATACCATTTCTCCGTCCGAAAAGAAAAGCCCAGCCCTTGACGGAGTAATCACAATCACTGAATCAAGTCAACTACTAGGGTTACACTTCCGCCAACAGAAACCTCTATATAATATAACCATCTCTTCTTAACTCCAAATCTCCAATGCAGTCAGCTAGTGCTTTATCTCATCTCCTCGCATCTTCCTTAGCTACAAAATCCTTCTCCGATTCCTTTCAATTAGGGTTTCTGATTTCCTACCTTTGCTTTCTTCTTCTAATCTTACTTTCGTGTAGTTTTCCCCTGTGAGGAAAAACCCCTTGAATAGGTAGAGCCGTATGACACAATAAAAAAGCAGCGGCAGCCCTTCCGCCGTCGGAACAACCGCGTTTTCGTCTCTCTCTTAATCCGCCGCCCGATCGGATGGCGGCTCCATTGATTAGTTCTATGGGGCGTCTTGCTTCTCTGCTTCGTCCTGTGGATTTTGGTCAGCGATCTCGCGGCCGTTCGGCGGAGCTTCCGCTGTGTGGTTGATTAGGTTCGGGTCTCTGAGGGTTTGAAAGAAAATCTAATCTTTTTTCAGTTCAATTTGCGTTTTCCTTTTATCCCTCGTTTCTGGGTCCATGCCACGTCGCCGGTAGCATATAATTGCCATGACCGGCGATGCTATGAATGGACCAATATCGAGTTCTCTGAATGTTTCGCTTTCTGATAGGAACCTGTGAATCTTTGATCTTAGCCGATTCACAGAGCCGTTTTGGGCGATTACATTTGATTTTTTTTCCTCTTCTTTTAATTCAATTTGAAGCCAATGATGATTTCTTTGTTTAGTTGGAATTACCGGCTGAATTGTTTCAATCTTGATGTCAAATTAGACTGGCTTACTGAGGCTTCTTCCTAAATTGCAAAAGTCTTCAATCGAAACTCTTTCAGTAAAGATTGGATTTTTATTGTTTGTTTGTTGAGTTATTGCGATAGGATGTGATGACACTTTCCCCAAATGAACGAACCTGAATAAACTGAGCGATTTTAAATCTCTTTGTAAGAGATTTCAAGCCAATGTTCTGATCCTTCTCTGTTATTCAACTTTGTCTCATCATGGTTGGCTCTTTAGAACATGGGTTTTTTGCTATCTGTATGTTTTTTTTTAAAATAAGTTATGATTACGATCATGTTTATGAATGGTATGTTGTGGTCTTGAGATGGAATTGATGATAATTTCCCCAAATGAACGAAGTTGATATAACTGCGCGATTTTATCTCTTTTTGAGAGATTTCAAGCCTATGTTCTGATCCATCTCTTTGATAATTCAGTTATGAATCTTGGTCCACTATTCAGTTCCATCACTCAATAGTGTTTTTTGCATTTGGGCTGGTTGTTAATGGGTGGAGTTAGAAGTCTCTCTGAAAAACTCGTGGGTTCTCTACGGGCTGCTTAGGAGAGTTGCTGGTTTACAAGGCCTATTCGCTTGGTTAGGCACAGTTTCCTGTTTCCTGTTTAGGCACAGATTCCTGTTGATGTAAATATTCTATACTTGTTAAGATGAATGCTGAGGGCATTTCCTTTTGAAATATGGAGGAACTTGTAACCCTTTCGTCTCTGATAGCTATGTCCCAAATGTGGGGTTACTTTTGCTTAGATAGGGCATAGTTTTGTGTTGATCATGAACTTGTTATGATGGGTACTTATGAACTTGCAACCCTTTATCTATGATAGCTTTATCAACTATTACCACCAGGGAAGTTGTGCAAGCCCTTGTGAATATAAATGTTACAATCAAGTATATATCTTGTCCTTGTGACTACGATTTGTAATATTTCGAAAACCATTTGGGTTTGCTATCTGATCAGCCCTAATGGCGTAGGAAAACGACTTGGATAAGTGGCTATATTGTCCTCGTAATGTTCTGTCCTCACCAGAATAGCTGCAAAAAGCTATTGACCGACCGCCTTGCTTTCTCGTGCGGACTTATCAGCTGCTTATAACGACACTGTGGTTTCTTCTGAGTCGGCCAGGTCTGTCAAGGGTATTATGTGCCTTCACGCTTGGAAAATCATACCCTTGTTCGCTGGGATTAGTGATGGCAATGGGGCGGGGCGGATACCTGAATTTTCATGTCCCGCCCCACGCTACTACGGGTCGGGGCTGATAAAACCC